GCATAAACTCACCTTCAAGTGCTCTGTCCTATGCAGATTTCCATCTCCTGCCGTTCAGCCCATGTTCTCCTGCACTACTTCGTGGGTGCTAATTACTCATGGCTTCTGGTGGAAGGCCTTTACCTCCACACGCTGCTGGAGCCCACAGTGCATTCTGAAAGGCGGCTCTGGCCCAGATACCTGCTGGTGGGTTGGGGTGAGTAACCTGAAACCCTGGCCTCTTCTCCTGGGGACCCTTCAGAATGTGGGGTCAGAGTTAGAGACCCAACTGGAGGAAGGCTTCTAGGACAGACAATTCTTTAACGACAAGTGACTCTGAAGAGAGGTGTGTGTGTGTGTGTGTGTGTGTGTGTGTACACAACACAAACATGTATGCACGCTCAAGTGCCATAGACCCAATGCACACATTCAAAAATTGAGAAGGTTTTTTTAGCATCAGATGACATTTGTCCTACCTTGTCCCCAACTATATTGGTCTGCCCTGGCTGTCATAACAAAATACCATAGGCTGCATGGCTTATACAACAGACACTTACTTCTCAAAGTTATGTAGGCTGGAAAATCTGAGATCAGGGTGCCAGCATGGTTGAGTTTCTGGTGAGAGCCCTCCTTCAGACTTGCAGACAGCTGTCTTTTTGCTGTGCCCTCACCTGGTAGAGAGGGAGAGAGAGAGAGAAAGAGAGAGAGAGAGAGAGAGAGAGAGAGAGAGAGAGCGAGCAACTCTCTGGCCTCTTCTTATAAGGGCATTAATCCCATCATGATGACATCCCCACCCCACCCCAACCTCTTCCAAACCCAGTTACTTCCAAAGGTCTCATCTCCAAATATCATCATGTTGGGAGTTAGGGCTTCAACATATTAATCTTGTGGGAGGGGGGCACATAAACTATAACACCAGCTAAGTCTTTAAGATGATGTCTGGAATACCTGTTGTCACAATCTTTTGGAAAATTTGAGACTATAGGATTCAGAGGAAATAAACTTGGCCTACAATTCAGAAGATTTTGGTTAATATCTCTGAATTTACTCTAAGCTGTTTATGACATGTGGCAAGTCTGTTCTCCTNGGTTAATTCTAATCACAGGAGATTAGCATTATAATTACCCCCATTTTATAAGTGAGGTAACTGAAATATGCAGAGATCAAGTAACTTGCCCAAGGTCACACAGCCGGGGAGTGAGGAAGCCAGGATCACAATCAGGCAGTACAGAGTTTGAGCATTTTCACTCCCTAACACTCTCAGAATCCAAAGCCTGGGTGCATTTTGCTAAATCATGTTTTTAGAAATCACCCAAGTGGGGTACTTATAGACCCACTAGGGAGTCCCTCGAGGCTGTCTCTTGGTCAGGAACATAACTGAGTATGTAATGTGGCAGAACGAGCATTCAGCATGGAAGCAGGAGACCTGGATGCTAGTTCCAGAGCCGCTCCTCACCTGGGCTCTGCTAGCCCCAGGTCTGGCCCTACCCGCCCCTCAACCCCAGGATGGTCTATGGCTCCTGGAGCAGAGTCAAGACCACCTACCCCACTTGGAGAGCAATTCTTGAACTATGGGAGAATTGCACAGCCTGTCCCCACTGCTATCACGGACCTCCTCCACTCACCTCCCTGAAGTCTCAGAACCAAGCCAGGAGAAAAGAACTGCCCAACCCTGCAGGAAGTAACTAGCAGAGCCTGGGTCAACCAAGTGTCCATTTTGCCTTGGGCACTGGGGAGAGAAAGACCCAGTCCCTGCCCGAGAGTAATCCCAGTCTAGTTAGGGAGAAGGATGCATAAATCACAAAACGCAAGGACCTGCTTCAAATCTTTATTCAGAGTTGAAAAAGGAATAGCTCTAAAGTAAGGCGGGATTAGAAATGTGCTGCACAGGGGCCCAGGCAGAGTGAGAGCTGAGTGGTGGAAGAGGGTCCTTTCGGCTCCAGAGACTGGGGATGCACAGTTTTACATCAGCTGGTACAAAAATGAGCCTGCTAGAAGCTCCAGGTGCGTGAGGGAGAAGTCATGGGAGCTGACATTCTGGGCACTCGTGTGCCAGGTACTGCGTGAGCGCTTTTCACCCGTTAACTGATTGAATTCTCACCACAACCCTTTGAGGGAAGTGCTCTTGTTCTCACAGGCAGTAGAGCCCCTGAGAGTCATATTTGGGCTTCAGAGTTTCTGGGTTCAAATCTACCATTTACTGTTTTGAGACTTTGGACAGGCCACTTAACCTTTTTGC